GCAATAACCCCTGATATGAATTCTCTGGAAACTCATGTTTATAAATATTTAAACAAATTAAAGAGAATGGCAACAAAAATTTTACTAAATGTTCTTAGTGACAAAACCAGCTGGCAATGACACTGCCTCATGTAAGTCTTCAGAAAATTATATTTTGTCTGTTATTTAAGAGAAACATAACTTCGCAAGGTCTTTGACAATTCTCAAAAGGCTCTAAGTCAAAATACAAATGTAAGGGATGCTGAGTAGTTTCAAGTAAATTAAAGTGAATCAATACAATTTTTGGTTTAGTATGTCTTCCTTGAAGCTGACACCTATTCACTCAACAGCTCTTTAAGGAGCTTGTGTGTGTCGGACACCACGGTGCTCACCTGATTAAACAGTGGGTTCAGACAAAGGTCCCGCCTGCGTGCAGAGCGGTGGCGGGGAAGTGCACTCACAACATAAGCAGACTGACCCGATGCCAGAGGTGCACAGGACCTCCATGGCCAGGGCTGGAACCAGGGAAGACCTCACAAGAGAAGAACACACTAGGCACCCAAGACGTGTGTGTGTGTGTGTGTGTGTGTGTGTGTGTGTGTGTGTGTGTGTGTGATGAGTACAAAGGAAAGAAGAGCTCAGCAACTGCCTTCTCCACCCCACACCCAAGTAAGCAAGTTTTCAATTGGAAAAGGGTGAAAAAAAAAAAAATAGAAGTATCAGAAACTGGGATGTATAATGAACATGGAAAGGAACATCCCATCAGGCATGCTGCGAAATTCTTTAACCTGAAGGTTTCCAGAATGAACGTTGGCCCTACAAGCTTTCTCACCACTGACGGCATTGCTTTGTGATTGGGTGAGATGATGTTACTTTTGAATGTTCTACACCTTGAATTCCAGTGAGGCGAGGCATGTTTCCACTGCTCTGTGAGTGGGTTGGGACAGGAAGAAACAGGAGACCGAATGCAGCTGTCTCTCACGAGTCCTGCACCTCCTCTCAGCCACCCTCTTCTGTGCTAGCATCTTCTTGCTCCCAGAACTGCAGTCCTTGGTTAATCCTATAGATGAATCTGTTTCATTTACCACGCTTGGGTTATAGTAATCATTTTCCTTTCAGTTTTTTTTTCCCTTTCAATGCCCTCTGTTGCATCTTCTGTTGCTTTTCTCTTTGCTCATTAGTTTAAGAAATATTTTAATGCCCACTATGTGTGAATCACCATGCTGGAGTCTGACAAAACAGAGAAACATCAACATGAATACAACACAGCTCCTGCCACCAAGTTTCTAAAGACCCAAGAGATGACAAGCATAGTTACACAAATACCTCTAAGTCTGGAAAAAGAACATGTTAAGATATGTTAAGTGCTAAATTAGAAACAAAAACACAGTTCTATGAAAGAAAAGAAAATATTTACTTCCAAATATGTTCTGATTGAGGAGGGCCAGGTTGGTGTACCCCCACTGGGCCTTACATCATGGTCCGACTTGACTAAGGCTGAGACAGAAGTAGCAAGGCAGATTAAGCATAAATGTAAGAAGAGAAACCCAGGAGATGTGTCAATGAACTGCATTTCTGAGCATCTCAGGGACAGACTGAGGAGTGGAACTTCATTTATGAGGAAGTAAGGAGCCGCTGTGCTGCAGATCTAAGTGCTTCTGTTATCAGAGGTGAAACGGGTAGCCACTGCGCAGTTGTGTCCAAGGGCAGGGCCTGGCTCCCCGTTTCCCAGACCTGCCTCGCCTTCTTCCACCCATCACTCTGCCCACTTGCTGCTGCCTCAAGTCAAGAGCAGCAAGGATTAGAGAGTGGAAGGGTGGCTTATGACAGCCCCCTGCCTACAGGAAACAGCTGACGCCAGAACACCAGCCAATACCTTAGAGAAAAGAGCCAACCAAAATAGATAATTTGGGAAATAAAACTTTCTTTCCTGTGATCTATGAATGCATTCATTTTAAAGCAAAAATCACTTATCTTTTGAATGTTTCTTCATTTCAGAGCCTATTCTGAGTAATTTCTTTTTTTAATGTATTCAGCACAGGGTCTGCAGGGTCTCACTACACAGATCGGACTCATAGTGATCCTCCTGTCTTCAGCCTCTCAAAAGCTGGGATTATAGGCATATACCACCACGCTCAGTCTCTGAATAATTTTTAAACTATAATTTTTTTCATGGATCATATGCCCAGAGATCAATTTTATTTTGAAATATCTAGTGAAGCCAGGAGGAGGGACAGAGAGCTAACATGGAAAAGGAAAAGCAGTTTTGGTACTAACAGAATAAAGGTTAAGCAATTTTCAGAGTCTTTTATTCCTTAAAAATAGTAGATATAATTTGTCCACATGTATGGGTATTTTTGTAAAAAAGAATGATTTTTATTTTTTAAAAATGTAGGTCAGATGGTAACCATTCTTTGTCAGACCTAACTTGCAAGGAATATGTAGTGTTAAGCAGTATTCAATTACTACCTATTTTGTTCCAGAAGTATTCAGAGTCTCTTATGAAGATAAGCCAGGTACACACAGAATCAAAAAGAAAATAGCAAACCAACTTCAACCAGACAATGATGAGGCTAATATAAAGTCATGTCCATACTCACCTATGAACCTTGTGATACATTTACACATGGCCTTTGAGTGTTCTTTCATATGCAAAAGCACCCCAGGTCCCTTACTATTGTGAATAATGTTGCTTGTAGTCCAAAATAGGTTCCTGAAACTGAAGCTGTACTTCATCTGTACCACTTTGTGAAAAAGATCCTGGCCATCAGTAGATTGTACATAGTGGCTGCTTTGCGGCTCCATGTCTTCCCTCCTGTGTCCTTCGGTGGCTCCTTGTTCAATAAATGGCACCATTGTCCATCCTGCCAGCAAAGCCAAAAGCCTAAGGTGCAGTCACAGTATCTGTTGCTTTTCCACTAAATTTTGCTTAGCATAAAATTCTTATGGTCCATGAACTGAGTGATTGCACCTTGCCACCATCAGTGCTTTTGTCCGCATTGTCCTCACTGCTCCCTTGGATCGTCACTGACCCTTTGCCTCCAGCCACCACCCTCCTACCCTCCCCCACACTCAGTTGAATGCGTCCTTCTAAAATGAAAATGCAGTCACATCATTCTGCAGCTTAAAAATCAGCACCAGTCCTCCCTCCAAAAGACGTCTCAGAGTTCTATGATTTAGCTAGGCACATATTTCATAGTCTTTTTCTGGCAACCATACCCAACTTCCTTCTGAAGACCTCCTCCTTTACAAAGCCATGCCAGTGAGCTTCTCAGTGAAACTGACTCTTTCTCATGCAAATGTCAGGCTTGATCAAGCAGACCACAGCATGCCCAAAAGAATTCACTTGGGTGACTCAGTCAGAACCAGTGAGACTTTGCTGGAATTCCGATAGAAGATATCACTGGACTCCAGCTGCCGCCATACCGTAACAACGCCTAATGCCATTTCAGAGTGGGGTCACCAAAGATGAAGCAGAAAGATGGACATGAAGAGAGGTCTTGGAGTCATCGTTTGAAACTTGTTTTGGACATGTATCTAGGCAGATCTTCCATGCACTTTTCAGTTATGGTAGCCATTAAAAGCTGCTTTCACTTAAGCACTCTGTGCATTTGGTCACTTGTGAAAGATGCAGGCCCACCTAGAAACACTAACAACCAAATGAGATTGAGATTTGCCTTGCTGTGACATCTCCAAAAGCCATGTATATGTAACACATAATCCAGGAAAGTATGGGTAACTGTAGTGTGGGACATCTTTTCCTTGCATGCCTCAGAATCTCTGCAGGTCATGCATCATTTTTTCATAATGCAGTTGCTGCCCTTCGCTGTCTGACTAGCTCATCTTTCAAAGCTCAGCTCCAAAGCTACCTTACTCCCTCTGGCCTCCCCCTCTCCTGTGCACAAGGGGCCCCACAGATGGCTGCAGGAGTCTTCCTTTCCACCTGGGAACTCATGCATGGTCATGGTAGCAGCAGCGCACACTCTTCAAACACTTCTACATTTATTGTCTCCCGTGGTCCTCGATATGGTCTGCACACTTCCGCTGAATCCTAGTCACCAACAGAAGAGCACTGAGAGAGGTGACTGGGGGGGGTAACCAGCCCAGAGGACTCTGCCTTTATGAATGTAACTGGTGCTCTCATACAAGAGGCCCGAAGACTGGCCTTGCCCTCTCCACTGCAGCAGGACAGTGAGCAGACTGACTTCTGCAACAGCAGGGCACCCTCGCCAGACACCAACTAGGCACCATGATCATGGACTTCCCAGACTCCAGAGCCTTAAGAAATCGCTATTAATTTAAACTACCCAGTTTATGATTATTTAGAGACAGCCATTAGCCTCTTCATTTTACAGATGGAGAAAGTGAGGGACAGAGAAGAAAAAAAATGTGGGAGGTGGATGACAAGCCGTGCGGCAGATGCAGGCAGCCTGGCTAGTGAGGCCTTTCTCCCCTACTCCACACTCATTTTATAGCAGTGACATGGTGACACAGCTCAGAAGTGCTCCCTGGCCCCTCTGATGGAGACCTTGTGGTTCATCTTTGTATCTTGGGACTCTCCCTGGTACCTGCTGCAGGATGTGTATAGGGAGCCCTTCATGGTCCTCATCTCTGTCCAGGAAGTTTATATT